TATGAAAATTAATAAAATATAATTATAGAAAAAAAAAAACAACAAAACTTGGACAAAAAAAAATCACCACCATCAAAGGCCAACTTCATTGGTTAATAGAAAACAATATTTATTTTCTTTATGGTTTATTTCACAAGAGTGGGTGTGGGAGAAACTTATTTATTCTCAGCTAGGTTAGGCCCAATAGCATTGTCCTTAGGAACAAAATTTATCATTTGCTAGAGTAACAGCACATTTCAGTGCTGCTCTGAAAGCTCAGAACAAGGGTAAATGAGAGGTGTAGATATGAGAATAAAATCCCTTTTCTTTATGTTAGCTACTCCTTTTTAGAAATGAAGCATTTTGCTGCTTTTTTCTGTGTAGGCATGTCACTGCCTAAAGTGTTTGTATTCTGACTTATTTTTTTCATCCACATAATTGACATTAGGATGTGTATAGGTAGAAGGTAGGACTTCCTGCTGCCTTCAGCACCCCTGCCTAGTTTTAACCTGTTTGCATCTTCATCTGTCTCCTGCCAGTCCTGGGACTCCTTTCTACCTTTGTTTTTCTCCTCCCTTGCTTCCCCCTCTTAGTATCTTCTCATCACACATATCTTCTTATCTAGCACGTAGGCAAGGATAACCCGGACTAACTGTTGAGAGAAGAGTCAAGCTGGAGAGAGCTATCTAAGAAAGAAGACTTTTGCATTCACATGACTTATTTTTGCCAGCTCTCAGGCTTCCATCCTGCCCCATTGCACTACTTTTCCTGAGAGCAGAACCAGTTACAGTGCTGGCAATCAACAGGACCTCTTTTCTTTCCCAGGCTTCTCTGGGAGGAAGACTGTTAGGAAGCAAATGATTTAGAATAGTTTTCACCAGAGATCACCCTGGCTCTAATTGCATTGGCAGCAAAGAGGGGATCCCTTTGGTGATAGCATTAAAAGACTGAGAGGAGGAGAATGAGCCAATGTGATGAATTCTGGAGACTGACGAAGAATGAGGTAGGGAGAAGGAGAGAGTAAAAAAAAAAATCTAACAGGCCAGGAAGAGGCATGTCCCTTGGACTACAAGAGAGAGATCTTCAAGGAAGAGCTCTGCCTTGACAAGTGTGAAGACAATCTGAAAAAAAAACCCTTTTTCTTCTGAGTTTTGTGTTTCTGATTTTGCTCACTGGATGTCAACTGTTGTGAACACAAAACTTCCTGAACACCTCTAGTTAGTAAAGCAGGGCAGGTTGAGTCACAGTCGGCTCATAACAACAATACTGAAATGAGAAGATCCTTAAGGCATTCAGGCACCTATTTTATTACTCTTGTTTAAAATTTAGTTATGTCGCTTCTAAAGTTTTCTATCATTCTAGTTGTCAGATGCCCTCAAATTGATTTCTAGCAAGCTATTCTTTTAAACAAAATTATAATTTTAATGAATATTTACAGAGATTTTGGATTTCCATTCATTCATTGTTGTACTTTTCTCCCTGCCCACCCCGCCCCCCCCCATTTGCTCTTCTCTTTGAAAAGTAAAAAAAAAATTCTTTCATTGGTATACAATCCACCCCCACCCCCTGCCCCAAGTACACTCCACTATGCAACCTTCATTCTGGACTCTTGTCATGACCATAACACCCAATCATATATCACTTTTAAACTGTTCTCTCCCTCATCTGTTTAAATGCAGTACACATGATTTATCCAATTTTTCTCAGTCTCACCCCAACCCTGATGACAGTCCCTTTCTACAACTGTGGCACCATGCAGTGTTTGTCCTTTTAGCAAGCTGCTCTTAGTGATCTTGTATGTACAACAGAATAAACCCTGCCTGGTCCTGTGCCAGCCTCACAATCTCTGCGGTGGTTAAGCAGTTACTGTTGTTGCAGACACTATTATGTCAATCCATCTCAATTGAGGGTGGGCTTTTTCACGCACTCCTCACTTTTCCAAGCGTCATGTCTTTCCAGGGACTAGCCCCTCCTGACAATATGCCCAAGGTAGGTGAGATAAAGTCTCACCACCCTAGCTCTTAGGGGCATTCTGGCTGCACTTCTTACAAGACCAACTTACTCATCCTTTTGGCTGTCATCCTTAGACCAACCCCATAATTCAATTCTTCAGTCTTCCTTTGAGCTCTCTGTCCCGTATGACAGCCATCACTGCAAAGGGATGAATCCCTGGGTCAGTTTTTTATGGTCCACAATCCCTATATTACGAACATCTTGTGTAATTTAAGGATTCTTTTCAAGAAATGGTCCTTTGTAGACTTCTGAGAAGAATGAGGTCTTCCTATAAGATATTGTGGGCTGGACACTGACTTCTTTTCACTGATGGCATTTGTTTTACAAGTTAATGTTGGGGGCAGAAAACCAAAAATTCAAGTGAATGTTGAGACTCAGATGGCTTGTGTTGAGTACTCTAGCTAGATGGAAGGGTTCTTTAAAAAGACTTTTGTCCCTTGGAATAGGAAGAAGTTTTTAGGTGCTGTCAAGTGTGACTCATAGCAACCCTCTAAAAAACAGATCTGAACCCCGACCTATCATGTACCATCCTCATCATCTCTGATATACTTGAGCCCATTGTCGCAGTCAGTCCATCTCATTGAGGATGGACTGTTCATTCTTAGCATGATCCCCCTTTCTAGGGAATAACCTCTCCTAGCAACATGTCAGAATAGGTGAGATGAAGCTTTGCCGTCTTGCCTCCAAGGAACACTCTGGGTACACTTTTTCCAGGACATCTGTTCTTTCGCCAGTCAATGGGATAGTCAGTGCTCTTCTCCAATACCACAACTCAAAGGCATCAATTCTTAGTCTCATCTTTATTCGTTGTCTAGCTCTCAGATGCATAGCAAGTGATTTAAAAGACCATGACCTGGATCAGGGACACCTTACTCTTCAAACTGACATCATTGCTTCTCAGTAATTTGGAGAGGTCACTGACAGTGGACTTTGAAATGCAGTGTGTTTCCTGATCTCCTGACTGCTAGGACCAAGGATGTTGAAAAGAGTTAAAGATAATGGTAGGTGGGATTTACCATTGGCATCAAAATGGTTCTCTCCTTTCCACTTGATTTGGATTGAGTTGACCTCTAGCCTTCTTGGGGAGGGGATGTGCCAAGTGTTTTTAATTCACTCTTTGAGAACACCTAGGACTTAGAAAGGACCTTGGTTCCTGAAAACTAGCTCTTATGTTTGACCTCATATGATGAAGCTATTATTCCCAATCCCATGGATAGACATTTGGAAGGGTAAAGTCTCCAGACTGAGTTTTAGAGACAGTTTCTTTTTGCTCTTCAGTTAAGGAGGAAGACTTCTGAGTCGCAGCTTCTTGGACACTTGGCTCTGGGGCTAAGGTGGTTCCTGGCCTAAGCCCCAGAGGGCCTTGGGATTCTCTGGCACCTGTCAGAGTAGAAGTACCGTCTAGTCTGCTCACCTCAGGATGAGGGCTTTTGCTTTGTGGAAGGAAGCTTTCTAGAGGTCTGTGAACTGAAAGGCAGGGTGGTCTCTCCTGAGCAGTGGTGGTGAATATTTCTGTCTGAGTTGCTGTTAAAGCCAGGAGGCTACATTTGTCAGATATGGTACCAGTTCCCTCCCATGGACAGATTTCTGCCATGGTACCCTTTATTTTATTTCCTTCAGGATCTGTGACTTCCCATCTGCACAACTCCACTGAACTCCCCTGACTATGTGCCCCCTGAGAACTGAGTTTGGGATGCTCAGTGTCCAGAGCATCTGGTTGGAGGCAGAGCCCCCCTGAACCTGTGCCTTCCCATGGGCAGACTGTCTCCATGTCCCCACTGAGTTTTTCACCTTGTACCGAAAAGTGTTCCTTAGACCTTTCAGAGCCTGCTTTTTGAAGGAACTTCTCTCCTTGCTCTTGTGAATCTCCCTGTGCCTTCTGCTTCAGTCCCCCTTTCTCTGCTGCTCCTTCACTCATCTCCCAGGGACAGATCTCAACTTTCTTGACAGAGGGAACCTCTTCTGCATCCCACGGACACACGTCTGCTATCCTGGCCCCCACACCACCTGCTGCCTCAGAACTGCCTTTGCCTCTGTCAGAAGCTTGTGGGGCTAGTTGTAGAGATAGACCTTCACAATCTTGACTCTCCCAGGGACAAACAGCCTCCTGCTTCCCGTCTGCTTTCTCTTGCTTTTTCTGAACTGCCACATCTTTGGGCTCTGATTTGTCTATGGCTTTCCGCTTGTCTTGAGATACCTCTTTCCCATCTTGTCTTGATACCCCTTTCTCAGGAATTTGCTCAATCTCCTCCCAGGGACAGATCTGGGCCTTGGCATTGCAAGCATCTGGGTCCAGAGCATCCCAAGGGCACACTTCAGCAACCCTGCCCTCAACACTGACCTGCCCCCACGAGCCAGCATTCGGTTTGTCTGGGTGGGAGAATAAGCCCCCTGGAGCCAAGCCCTCCCATGGACAGACAGATTGCAGCTCTTTGCTTATATTTTTCCCTTCGTGTTCTGCTTTGGAACATGCAGCTTTTTCGGGAGTCCCCATGTGTTCCAGAAGGGAGTCATTTGGGTGTTGCCTCAGACCCCCTTTCTCTACTTTGTCATCACTCACTTTTGAGGCATGCCCCTCCCCCACTTTGCTACTCAAGTCCATGGTCTCCCACGGACAAACAGTTTCCTGCTCCTGACTTGATTTTGCTTCCCATTTTGACACGTCTTTTCGCAGGGAAGGGAGTTTTGCTAGTGTTTTTCTCTGCCCTGTTGACTCATTCTCCATCTCCTGTTCTCGTCCCTTCTCTGTCAATCCTTCATCCACTTCCCAGGGACAGACCTCAGCCTTATTCGTGGTAGGCACTTCCTCCACCTCCCAGGGACACACTTCAGCTGGCCTGCACCCGACACTGCCCAAGTCCTGGGGTCCAGCTTTCGATGCAGAGGTGTCCAGAGCATGTGACTGCTGGGATGCACCCTCAGGATCCAAACCTTCCCAGGGGCAAACTACCTCACTTTTTTGAGGTAGCTGCTGCTCTGGCTTCTCTGGAGTGGTGGCTGCTCGCTTCCTGGGCCCAGAATCTCCAGAAACTTTTTCTGTATCATTTGGGAATTTCCAAATGGCCTCAGTTCCCAAAGTCCCTTCCTGCATCATGCTAGCACTTACCTCCCAGGGGCAGATGTTTGCCTTTGCAGTGAGGGCCTCATCCACCTCCCATGGACAGATGTCTGCAGTTTTACCTCCCACACTGTCTAAAATCTGGACACTGTCTTTGGGTTTACCAGTGTCTCGAGAGCATGGCTGTGAGGGGTCACTGCCAGGGTCCATGCTCTTCCGGGGACATAATGCTTCCTGGCCTGGGATCTGCCCTTCATGCTCTTTGCAAGCTGTGACATCTGCTGCTTTGATTCCTGGTTGTGCAGGCATTTTTTCCTGGTTCTTTTGAGGTTTGCCTTCTTTTGGAGCCTGTCCCAATGTCCAGTCCTCTGCTCTTTCATTTGCCTCCCAGGGACATATTTCTGCTTTAGCAGGTCTGGCTTCCTTTACCTCTGGCTTGCTGTCTTCCCTGGTACATGCCTGCAGTACTCTGTTTCCTCCAGCACTGAGGAATTGGCCTTCTGCTGTGGAGGAGACTCCATCTACACTGGAGCTGGAGTGTCCAGGGCCTATGTCCTCCCAGGAATGCACAGACTCCTGCTGGTTACTTAATTTCTGCACTCTTTGCACAGCATGTTCCTCCAGTTCTCCGGAACTTCCATTTCTAGAGTCTTTTCTCTTTTCCTGCAGAGATTCCCTGTTTGTCCCCTCACTCTCTCTTCCTTTTCCCATTTTCTCAGTGTCCAGCTCCCTAGAACAGAGCTCTGCTTTCCTGGTAGCAAGAGTATCTCCTGCCTCCCATGGACACACCTCGGTGACGCCACTTCCCAGACTCCCTACATACTCTGGAGTTTCTGAGACCTGAGTCGAGACTGCTGAGGGACCCCGAAAGTCTGTACTCTCCCATGGGCAGAGAGACTCCCACTCTAGTTTCTGTTCTTTCCAAATGGTTGCTTTCTTGGGGGTTTTCTGCTTTTCCTGGGGAAGTGCCTTCACTACTTCCTGGGCTGGTTTCTTGTTCTCCCCCTCACACACCTCCCAGGGACAGAGCTCTACTTCGGCCTTGTCAGCTTTATCAGCCTCTGGATCAGTGACTTTGAACTGACACATTACCACATCCCTAGCCTCCCCACTGCCCGCTGCCTCAAACCTGCCCTTGCTTCTATCAGTGCCCTGAGTGGCTGGCTGAGGGGACAATACCTCAGGATCAACACCCTCCCAGGAACACACTGCCTCCTGCCCCCTGAACAGCCTCTCTGGCTTTTTCTGAGCACTGGCAACCACGTCTTTGGGCCCTGGTTTTTCTGGGACTTTCCCCTTCTCTTCCTGGGAGCTGTCTTTTAGATTCTGTTTCAGGGCTCCCATCTCAAGGCTTCCTTCACTCATCTCCCAGGGACAGATTTCAACCTTGTTGCCACTGGCAGGAGGACACATTTCTGCCTTGGCAAGTTCCCAGGGGCACACCTCTGCCACCTTGTGGGGAGCAGTGCCCAGGGACTGGAGACCAGCTTTAGGCTGTTCCCGCCCTCCCCCAGGGTCTTCTTTGACTTGTTCAGCACTTTTGTCCCCAGTTGTGTTCTGCCTACCCTGCCTCAGTGTGGTGAGCCCCGTTTTACCTGCTTTCTCAGCTTTCCCCTCCCCCAGGTCCTGGGCTGTCCTCTTGCCTCTGTCCTCCTGGTGACAGACTTGGAGCATCTTGCTGGTGTGAGCATTCTGTTGGTTCTGGAGGGACTCCTCATCATCACAGGGCTCAAGGGCAGCCTGCTTACTCACTGCCTTGGGCCGGCCCACCCTGGGAGATCTGGGGGAAGCCCCCACACCCTCTCCTGGAGCTCTGTCCTTCCTCCCTTTCTCAGGGCCCTCTTCCCCGCTCTCCTTTTCTCGGTATGTGCTCCGAGAACGGGTCAGAGCTTTGATAGCCAGTCCCAGGCTGCGAACAGAACCTTGTTGAACAGGGGCCTTGAGGCTGTGAGATTTAGAGAAAATCTTGGGCCTGTCCCCATCCATGTCCTCAGCTTCCCCCTGGAGACCCCTGTCTTCTGTGTCCATTTCATTCTCCCCACTCGCCTTTCTCTCTATTGCCACTGAGAGGGCCCTCCAGATCCTCGTCCGAGCAGGGCCAGGGAGGTGATTGCCTTGCTCTGTCCCTGAGGGGCCTTCCTGGGTCACATTTTCTTTTTTGACTGGCAGTTCAGCATTCTCCCAGGGGCAGATGTAGGTGAGCAAGCTGGGACTTTGAGGAGGTATTAGGACAGGTACTAGGGCAGGGGCTGGTGGCAGGACCGGAGCTGGCATCAGAGCTGGAGTCAAAGTGGAGGTCGGTGACAACATCTTTGGCTCTCCCAGCCAGGCCCCAGGCAGGCCCAAGATGGGTGTGGAGACCTGGTGCCTGATGGGTGGGTGAGGCAGCTGTCTCCCCGACTCCTCATGAAGCTGCCTAGAGGTGTGGGAGCTGTCCACACTGCTGCTCTTGGCTGGGGAAGGTGGGGCTGACAGGGGGCCACCCCAAGCTCGCTCTAGCCTCCTCGTTGATGGCCTTCGCCCTGGGCTCGCCATCGCCGCCTCTGCCTTCTTTCGCTCCTCTCGCTCCTTCGCCTGTCTATAGGACTCCTCCAGGTAAGCCTGGCTGGCCACAAGCAGGGCCTTTTCCCGGGAGCCAGCCACGACACTGAGCGATTTGTGGAGAGAGGCGGGCCGCGCTCTGGGCAGCCTCTCTCCCACTGTGAGGTTGTGGGCGCTAGCAGACCTGAAGCCAAGGACAGGGGGTCCCTCCACTGATTCTCGGCTTTCTCGGCTCTCAGCCCTCCTCTGGGCCAGCTTCCTCCTCACCATTGAATCGAGCAGAGGCAGGTCCTGCTCTTTGTGGTGGTCATGGGTGCTGGGGGGCTTGTGCAGGGCCTGAGCTCCCTCAGGGTCCTGGAGGCTGAAGCTGAGGAGCCGCCGCCGTGAGGAGCCAGGCAGGCTGCTGCGGCTGCTGCGGCCCGGAGAGCCTGAATCCCGGGAGTGCTGCCTCACCAGGGCCTCGGGGAACTCGGCCAGGTACCTGATGAACGAGCGGCCCAGCCCCGGGCGGGGCTTCTTGGGCAGGTGGGGGTTGTTGGCTGTCATTTCCTTGGTCTTGTGGACCTCCAGCTGGGCATAGAGCTTCTTCAGTTCATCCTGAGGGGAAGGTTGAGGAGAGCAGAACTCATGGTGAGCTACCTGTCCCCAGGCCCTTATTGACTTTTTTTTTCTTGAGAGAACTCTTTTCTGTCAAGTGGAGTTTCCTGCCTGCTTCTAAAACTTGGACTTCATCTCACTGTGTCTCCAGACTCTTGCCTGATGCTGAGCCTATCCACTCAGCTCTGAGGACTCAGCATACACTCCCTTCCCAGGGGATGCTGTGTTCTGATGGTACATCATCAACTTGGGGAACAGGTAGACTAGATTCTAGACTACATGGCTCTGCCTCAAATTTGCCACAGAGCCTGGGCCTCAGGACTCTGGAAATGCTGGGGTCTTTGGACTTGGGTGGGGTGTATGGCCTCCTTCATATTGTCAAGGGAAGCAGCCTAGATCCAAGGATGGAAAAGCTAGGGAGGCAGAACTTGGAAAGAGGGAGAGGAGAGGGTCACTCAGCCCAGATGACAGGCTACGATGCTCTTTGTACCAGTCAGAGCCAACATCAGAATGAGGCTGGGAGGGCAGCACGCACCCTAATGTCACCAGGGTCCAGGCTGCGCTCACTCCAGGCTGAGGCGATGCTACTTTCGAGGTAGGAGCCTGAACGCTGCAGATCCAGCTCATCTTCATATACCTCATCCACGATCTCTTCCCGAGGAGGGGCCCCCGACTTCCAGAACTGGCCAGAGAGGGGCATGACTCACCTTGGCTCCCTGTCAACAACTTCCACTTGTCCCATGGAATAAGTCTACCACACACCACCCTTGTCACCCCTCTTTCTGATTCCAAATTCTCAGTGTCTGAGTATTCCTCCGCTTCCAATATCTGGCCTGATTTTCTCTCTCAGAGACAAAGAAAGCGTGAACCCTCTGGCTCCTGTGATTCTTAGCCATCTGTCCTTCTGAGACTTAACAGGAGTTGACTGTTTTATCTTTCCCCATGGAGTGACTCATGTGTTCGAATTGCTACACTTTCACGTAGCAGCCTGACACTTAACCTGCTGCAGGCACCATCAGGGCTCATGCTTTTCCCACCAGTAGCTTTTCCCACAGTAGCTTCCTCCCTCTCTAGTCCACTGCTTACTTCACCTCACTCACCCTCAGCGCCTTCTGTTATCCCCACCTCCCACCCTGAACTAGAGTGGGTAATGTGACAGCAGTGGGTCCAGTAGCATGCACATGCCACCTCATATTCAGGAGGGGGAGAGCTCACCTTGGGGATAAAGAGCAGAGCCAGGGTGGCCGTGACTGTGCTGTGGGTGTGGAAGAAGAAAAGGAGAAGAGTCCAGTCGGGGTGCAAAGAAGGAACCAGCACAAACCTGGGGGGCAGGATGGGGGAAGAGTTAGCTGTAGGTGGGAGTGGCCCCTTCCAGCCCCAAATCTGAGTGTGGAATTGCTGGGTACAGTGAAGAGGGTGCCCTCCCTTCTCTTTGCCCTCTCGGCTACTCGTATTGTCTTTCTTGGGCTCCTGTAGCAGATTAGTGCTTCACAAGCTTATAGGGACCAGGAGAGTTGATTCAGCCTCCCTCACAAGGCCACACTCATAGGCATATGCATATAACAGGCCTGCTGCCTGTATGCCAGAAGTTCCATGGGGAAGAAGGCCAGGAGATTGAGCACTGTGGGAACAGGCATGATAGGGTACTATGGAGGTGGCGTTATGAACGGGAAATTAGTTAGGACCAAGAGGTACTTCTTTTCCTTGGGGGTTGGGGACTTCTTCATTTGAGTGAGGTTTGGACCTCAGGGCCCTGTGAAGGTGGTCTGTGAAATGAGAGAGCAGCAGGTGAGAGGCCCACCTTGCCTGGAACCTTAGGGCTGCAGGGGTGGCCACTGGGTGGCCTCGGGTAGGTGAGGAGCAGTGTTGGCATGGAGAAGTTGTTAGTAGATGAGTCCACCCTTACCTGGCTGTGTGGAAGGCAGAAGAGAGCAACAGCTCATTGTGCAGGGCGATGCCCATGTAGCGTGGCTCATGGAAGGCTGAGGGTACAGCCCGGGTGGCATAGCAGAGGAAGCTACCCCAGCACAGAAGCAGCATCTCGGCTGTGGGAGGTGAGGGAGAGAGTCAGCACTACCTTTTCTCTATAGTGCATGCTGAGGCAGGTTAAGATCAGGAATTGGGCACAGGAAGAAAATGAGGAGGGTCCAGACAGGAGGTGAGGGGGTTACAGAGCCAGACCAGGGCTCGGCGGAATCAGCTCACCCACAACCATGATGTAGTCCCAACGGTCATGGTGACAGAGATAGAAGTGGCGACCAGTGGGAGTGTGGCCTTGGGTCACAAGAAACATGTGTTGGGCATCTCGCTCCAGGACCCCTGATGTCCACACCACCAGGAAGCCCAGCACAAGTAGCAGCAGCAGACCCAGACGCCGCAGCAGCCGCCCACTGCTCAGATGTGGGCCCCGCTGGGCCGTTCGAGACAGAAACAGCTGGAGCACTCTACAAGGGTTAGAGGATGTGGCTATAAGTGGGAGACAGAGAGGAGGAGATGGGGAGGGCAGCTTCCGTCCATCCCTCCCCTCCACACACCTTTCTATGGTACAATACCTCTCTCCCTCCAAAAAAGCTGTACAAAAGGGAGGAAGGACTATGGTGATAGAAAGGAGCTCTGGTAGCCTTGTAGGTAAGGAGTTGCATTGCCAACCCAAAGGCAAGCAGTTTGAATCCACCAGCTGCTCCAAGGGAGAAAGATGGGCGCTCTCCTCCTATATGATTTATAGCCTCCAAAACCCACCTTGAGGTTCAGCTGTGAGTCAGTTCTGACTTGACGGCACATAACAACATAGTGATGGGACCATAAGGAAATGGAGTTGGCAACAGTCTAGCTTTGAAGAACACCATTTTATGAAACAGCAGGGGTAGTCTGGGCTGAGCAACATGACAACAAGGTCCATCGCAGGCCCTACCTATAAAGCTTGAGTATAATGGTGCCGTAGACGATGACAAAACCCAGCAGCCGGACCCACCGGAGAGCGATGCAGCGAAACACACTAGGCTTGAAGTACAAAATGAAGACCTAGGGAGCAGGGGTGACAAAAATGGTTACTCTCTGCTGTGCTCTACTACGTTCTGGTCCTTATGCTAAGCACTTTGTTACTAAGCCTCATAATAGAAGGCGTCATCACCTCCATTCTGCAGAGGAGCAACTTAAGGATCAGAGAGATGACCAGGGTAACTTGTCTAAGTCCCACAGCAAAACCCAAAAGTGTTTTAGGTACAGACTGTTGGACTCCAAAGCTCCCTGGACTAGCTTGCCTTTGAGGGATATGAGTAGGGGAAATCTGGGGTGCTGAACCCAGCCCCCTCAAGAAGGCAGACCAGAGAGGAACAATGTTGAAGATTTGCAAGATGCCAGGTCAGGTTCTGGACAGTGGACCAGCCTCTAGCCACGAACTCACAGGGAAGTAGAGCAGTAGAGATCCAAAAAGGATGGTTTCCAGCAGGATAACCCCAGAAGCCCGGATCCTCTGTGAATTCAGAAAAAAACCCAAACAGTAGATGCGCAGATAAGTGGGAAGCTGAGCTTGGACTAGGATGCAGTGTGAGAGGGGCTTGGGTCTAGGGCTAAAACTTCACCCAGTAACATTAACACCACCCCTCTTCCCAGCCACACTCCACTCATGCCCCAAGGCTCTTAGCACCTCTGAGATTACCTTTGGCAGCCTAAGTTTTTCAATCTCTCCAATACCCCACCTCAGAGCCTACCCAAGTCCATCTACCTAGAACATTGTTGCCGTTTGAGGCTCAGATCAGATTATAGAAGAAAGAAAGGACCTCTGTGTGCCTTTAAGCTTTGGGTCCACTTATTCACTTGTTTAGAATACGTCATCTTCTTTGCCTGATAAACACACAGTGACTCCAATGGTACAATTTCCAGTCTTTCCCACCCCTTCTCAGGCAGGAGACCTGGGTCCCTTTTCTGACACCCACCTCTGTTTCACAGTGCTGTCATTTTTTTACATTGAACTTCCCTCACTAAGTCTGGGAGCTCCGTGGAGACTGAGTTCCCTTCCCATAGTGTCTAGGCAGTGTTGTGCATAGTGTAAAGGCTCAATAGGCACTGTTGAAACAAGTCCAATGCCTTCCTGGTGCAGATGAGGAAACAGAGGAATTGGATTTAGATTCAAGACCATAACCTGTTTCTCCTGAATTTGTTCTATGATCTGGTTTTTGGTAGTTTCAGGTCTCCAGTGAATACCAGAGACAAGGGCACTGACTCAGGGAAGATGAGGGGCCCTCCTTGCCTTGCTCTCACGGCAGCGGTAGGAGACCAGCATGCTCAGGAAGACAGCCAGCATGCAGCAGGCCTGGCAGGTCAGCACCGCCGCCCGCAGTGCCAGAGCCTTCTCTGCCAGGCATGGTGTGGCATCCATGCAGCTGGTGCAGCCCTCAGGACATGGCTGGCATCGTAGGAGCCTCCCAGAGCTACCTTGCAGGGACCCAAATTGTCCAGTAGGCTGGGTAGCGCTCTCCTCTAACCCTATAAAGAACAAGATGGGTGCAGGGAGAACAATATGACTGATGTCCTCTATTCTGAGACTCCAGCCACCGCTATCTATGCCCAGATTCCTTTGTATTTGTGGCCCCTGGGGTTGGGTCAGGAGGAGAATCACTGAGGAAGAAGGTGCCCTTAATGTCGAGGAGGGCAAAGTAATGATGGTGTCCAAGACTAGGGCTATTAGAAGTCAGTCTGCAGTGGATCAATCTGCAAGTCATGAGCTCATTCTCAGAAGGTATAGACGTCCACACTGGACCCTATCTGCCCCTTCTCCCTGTGCCACTGTCCCGCTGGTTTCCTCCAGTGCCTCACTCTGGCACTACCATTCCCTCTCATGTGTCCCTAAAGCCCAGCCTGCAGACCACCTGTCTCGCCCTCAGCACTAGTACATACCCCCAGAGTGGCTTGCTCCATAGAAACCAGGCAGGCAGCGGCAGAGGTAGCGACCCAGAACAAAGCCCTGGTTCTCCAGGGGGACACACTGTAGGGACACAAACATACCACATGTTTGTATAGGGCTTTCTTCAAAAGCTCTTTCCTTCCTGGGAAGAGGTGGAGTGGTCCATCTGCCTCCTTGTCCATAGCACCAACCCCCACAAGAGGAAAGCCTTTCCATATGGAAATCCATCACTATCTCTGAAATTGCCTTTTCCTCAAAGAGACTCCAAGCAAAGAATTTGGGGATAGAGTGCTTCCTTGTCCAGACTGGCAGGACAGCATAGTCTATAGGGAGCTGCACAGCTAACCCAAAGGTTGTACCTCTGACAGTTCTAATCTACCATAGGTTCAATGGAGAAAGGTGAGCAGTTGCCTCTAGTGTGATTTACAGTCTGAAAATCTCAAAGATCAGCTAAGAGTCGATTCAGACTTTCTTGATGGCAGTGAATGAGTGACTGGCAGTGACAGAAGTCTTACAGGTGATCCCACTTCCTAGGCCCAGCTGTTGCATGGTGCTGGGGGAGGTGCAAGTCAGGGAGAGCTCAGTCCAGTGACACCTGGAGTACCTATGTCCTGCTTCAGAGGATATCCCTCTTTGGCACACAGGTGAGGTGAAAGGGCCCCCGTGGAGGAGCAGCTTCCTCCACCAGGGGCCATCTGGCTTAGGCATAGGGCTGCTTTCCCCTGCCCTAATGCCAGGTGGGCGGGATGCCAAGGCCGGCCCTTTTATTCCATCTCCGCCCATTGATGTTTGCCCAGCAGGGGATGGAGCAGACCTCAGAGCCAGGTTGGGAAGAAAAGCACATGAATGAGGTCAGATCTGCTGACATAGCCAAGAACAGACATCAGTGGAACAAAGAGAGGGGTAACCTTGGCAGGGGAGGTCCACATCCAGACCCTGAAAAGATAGAGCATGGTGCTTACGAAGCTCTGGCCTAGCTTCCCCTTTAGCTTGGACCACTAGAACACACTCAGTTTCTGCCTCATCAGACATTCTTATGCACAGTCAGATAAATATGTACCCAGAGTTGTGAGTGTTGCTGTCTTTAAAAGTGGCCTGAGTAATAGGTCCCCTGGAGAGTGGGCACCCTTTTCCATGGGCATCCTTTTCCATCTCTGAACTTAAAGCTCCAAACACATGTGCCCTCAGAGCAGCAGGACTGCCTGTGCAGAGGGCACAGTGATGCCACAGCCACCTTTTCCCTAGCAGGCTGCAGGGACAGCTCAGTTCTGCTCAGGAGCACACAGGCAGTTGGTGCAAGCATGGAACTGCTTACTCCCGTGGCTACTTGGTTTCCCACTGCAGAGCTTGTTGGATTTACCAGCTATCACTTTCTCCCGTCCTCCTTCACCTACACCTGTGGTTGCCAGCACTCAGCCACACTTCCTCAGACTCCTCCTTTTCCTTGATTCCTCCCACACCCCAAACCACAATTCCCTTAATTTAGACAAACTAAGCAGGGCTTTGACAAACACCCATGTGGCATCCTTTGCAGACCAGGCAGGTGTCCAGATCTCTGCTTATAGGGAGAATGCTGTGCACAGAAAGCAAAAGGGGTGACTACCTGAAGCTCAGGAAAGAAGGCAAGGGATACATTCAGATTGCAAAGGCATAGGCGGTGGCTAGAGGGAGGGATAGGCTGCAGGTGATCTCACCTGTTGAAAGCCTGGTATCTTACCTTTACTAATCACTAATGACTCCCTGCTACTTGAGAGGCTAGGTTGGTTTTGAGTTGGTCCCAACAGCAGGGCAGTGACAGTGATGGGAAAGAGGGAAAGAGACAGGCAGGAACCTAGTTCATCTTCCCTCTATTTCCCTTGTCCTTACCTGGGTGCTGTTGAGATCACACAGGTGTGTGTTAGAGTACCAGCCTGGGCCATTGGCACACTGATTGATGTCCACGCTCTGAAGATCCACATCCATCTGCACTTGTCCCCTGGAGCAATGAATTAGCCATTAGAGAAGAGGAGGCAGACATACGTTGTTGTCTACCAGACTTTGGGGCAGTGCAAGCTTTGTAAGTTTATCACAGTAGAGGAAGGACATTGATCTCCACTTCTCTAGTGTCCTTGTACTTCCTTGTCCATGGGCTCCATGGGCGACAATCTCCCTCTATGCTGCTTCCCACACCAACCAGCTTTACAATATCTTATCATTTTATGATTTCTATCAATGGATAGGAGGGAAGAGTGTGTCAAGACTTGTGGGAGCTGGCACGCTGGTGATGTCTGAGGGGAACTTTTATACTGTTTTTGTGCACGTACACACACACACACACACACACACACACACACACACACACACACAGCGCTTAGCTGTTAGCCATTTCCTCACTCTACCAAGCCAGGTCTGAACTGATTGGGATGGGCAGGAGTGGGGGGGAATGGAGGGAAATAGAAAAGCCCTGAGGCAGAGTGGCCTAACAATGTGGTCCCCAACCCCTCCTCTGGGCTAAGGGAGAGGAGAGCTGGCAAAGATCCTGGCTGCCTGCTAGGAGGAGGGGAACCCTGCTGGGAGCAATGAAAGGGGATCATAATAGCTGGAAAAGCTGCCTTCAGGATGGTGCCCACTTGCTGCCTCTTATCAATAAGGGTCTCCCCAGCCCCCTACTTCATTTTGGTTGAGGGAAGTCTATTGTTTGAAAGGCATTAGGCTCCTGAATCGGGACAGGCAGAACAGTGGACCCTGACTGAGGTAGCAGTACGGCCATTGGAAGTAACCCTGGCTCCAAGCCCCAGTTCCCAAATTGTCTTTCCTCTTAGTGCTAAATCCTTAGGGAAAGCCTCATTTTTTGAGCTCTAAATCATTAGAGAGAAGCAAGTTTAACTCCTGGAGTGCCCACCTATTTCCTCTAAGAAGCCTGGTTGATTTTCTTCCACGCCAAGCCTTCTCTGTCACCCACAGCCAGTACTCAGCTTGGAAGCCTAGGGCTACACCCCTCCAGGGCCACATATCTGTACACACACACACACACACACACGCGCGCGCGCGAAGATACTACAAATACCCACTGCCATCATAGCAATTCTGACTCATAGCGACCCCCTCCATTGGGTTTCTGAGGCTGTAAATCTTTATGGGAGGAGATGTCCATCTTTGTCCTGTGGAGTGGCTGGTGGATTTGAACAGCTGATGTTTTGGTTAGCAACACAACACACTATGCCATCACAGTGCCTTTAAGGGATAAGTATATGCCTTTCTGTACATTTGGAAGCAGGAGTGACATCCACTTCCTAAGTAACATGCCTCTGGAAACTCTATGAACTTTGATAAATGTCGATAGTTATAGAGGGGTTTCAAGCCTTTTGTTCATAGGGTCACTGTGAGTCTTTCTTGACGTGAAGGCAATCAACAGCAATAATACTTTATATGTATACTTATAGACCTTCATATATATATACTCAAACATGTAAAACACAAGTAGATATCCAGAGAAATACATAGAAGTAAATTAAAATACAGGATATCTGTGCCTTCACACTTGTAGGTATCAACACATAGTTGCAGATTTCAGAACTGACTGTGGATAGATTAATTGGTGCCCCACCAGACATCCACATGTGGGTGCCAAGTGGCCCATGCACTTGTGCCTTCCCCTATACCCCCAGCCATGCCTGTGATTGTGTTAAATCTTGCACAGACTGCCTTACCTGACTTCTGGGCTGAGGTCTGGCTTGAGTCCATAGAAGGTTGCTGAGAGTGTGATAAGCCAGCCAGGACGGAGCCGGCCCTGTTGGCATTCCAGGAAAGGAGGAGACAGACTTACGTGCTCTATATCCCCCACATAGCCATCCCCACGTGGCCATTTGGGGCTCCCAAGGCTCCTTAGGTCATTGGTCAGCACTCGCTTCTGCAGGTCAGGGGTGTCCAGGTTCCCAACAGGGCTCTCCTCCTGCACCCTGCTCCCAGACAAGTCCTGAAGGATGGTCTCCTCCTGTATTCGAGTGGCTTGTAGGGCAAGCTGCAGGTGGCTGGCCCCAGGTGGGGGGCTAAAGGTCAACAAAGCCCGGTATGCCCTTGGGTCCCCTTCAGCCACACTGCGGACCAGTGCCTGGTACCACTCCACATCCTCCTCCACACTGGACTCGCGGATGTCGTTAGCTTGCAGCAGCATGTTAAGGAAGTTGGCGGCCTGGGCAAGGGTGGCCGCTGCTCTCTGCAGGACTGGAGGGAGCTCAGGTCTGGTTCTTGCCCCATGGGCTTCGTAGCGCTCACTGCAGTTAGCTCCTGACAGCTGCTGAGCATCTCCAGAGTACAGAAAAGTCCAGGCTGCCTCTACCCCTTCTGGGGGAACCCATATGGGTGCAGATTCTGGCTGGGCTTGGGAGGACAGAGGGGGCAGAGAGTGAAGGGGCTGTGAACCTCCCAGAGCCCAGCCACAGAAGAAATAGCAGCCCAGCAGCCTCCACACAAGAGAGGGCACGTTCTCTGCCCTGAGGATCATCATGGGGCAGATCTCTGGAACCCTGGGGCTGTGGCTGCCCGGAGGATTTGACAGCTTGAGGGCTGGCAGAGGCTGGCCCAGGAGCTGCCTGCCTCCACGCCTCCTAGCCTAGCTTTCCCTCTCCCTCTCTCCTGCTCTCTCTCTCTCTCAATGCTCACTTCGTCTTGCCTGTTTTTTTCTTTGCTCTAACGTCATCAACTGGCTTCTGGACACTGGCATGAGAGCCCTGCCCCCTCCTCACTCAATGTGGCTACCATCTCTCAAACCCTTAATCCAGGCAATCCACTTGCCCCTCCCCCTTTTATCCAGCATCCCTATGTCCTCCTCTCCCCACTTGACATCTGCTTTACAGAGAGGGAAGGGAGGGGAAGAGAAAGAGCCAGAAAGGTTCTCTCTGCCTTCCTCCCTGCCCTTTGCTCCATTAGGAGAGATGGGCAAATCCTGGATGGGGTGCCATAGCAACCACAGATGAGCCTGTGCCCCTCTCTCCGCCCCTTTGCTCCACTCAGCCTTCTGGCAGCAATTGCAACAGGCATGATAAAGGGGCAAGCTGCATCTCCTGGTGATCTGCTCTGGCCGACTGCACCCCTGACACTGCCTAGTTGGAATCTGAGATTGAGAACAGAGACAGTGGGTAGGGGGGAACCTGAAAAGAAAGAAAAAAAGATAGTCAACCTTTGTACAGACTTTGATGTGTGTTGTTTTTGTATGCTCTTGAGTTGGAACCAACTCATAGCTGACCCTCCGTGAGTTTTCACAGGTAGTTAATTGCATTAAAAGAGATTGCCCAGCCTTCTCCAGTGGAGCAGTTGGTAGATTAGAACCTTGTGCCTTTGGGATTTTCTTAACACAAGGCCACCAGAACTCTCTTTGATGTGCCTTCGTTCAGTAAATCTCCACCACAACCATGTATGAAGAATATCATCATCCCCATTTCACAGATGCAGATACTGGCATGCAGGGCCTCAAAAATCACACAGCTACTTAGTTTGAAATTCAGAATTACGCTGCAAAGTTGAACCATCGCTGTCACTTTGGTCCCTCAAGGACCATGATGACACATCATTAAAAACAAATTCATTTTTGTTGAGCTGATTCAAACTCATGGCAACCGCATGCATTAAAGAGTAGACCTGCTCCAAAGGGTTTTCTTGGTTATAATCTATACAGGAGCCTATCACCAGACCTTTCTTCTGCAGCACTGCTGGGTGGGTTTGAACTGCCAACCTTTGAGTTAGTAGAGGAATGCAACCGGTTTGCATCACTAGGGATCTTATAAAGCCTCAGTCCACAGAGGCAAAGAGATTTCTGCAGGATCACTCTTCTTGCTCAGGACAGAGCTGGGGCTCCACTTTGCCTTCCTTCTTCTCCCCACAGTTAATGCCCACAGCCCCAGTGATGAGAGTGGTGGCTTAGGGAGCAGGGAAAATATCTTGGGAGATGAAGTGTACAAAGCTTTGCCTCTGCTACTGCTTCTACCTTCATTTAATCACTACAAGCCTATCTTCTTCATGAAAAGTTGGCCAACCTTCCTTCCTCTATTTTCTCACTCTATGTGCCCACTAGCCTTCCTCTGTTGGACACAGTAACTCTGTTGAACACAGTGATGTCTGAGGATGTGGAAGAGTTTGGATATGGGGTGGACAGAATACAGTCCTTGCCACCCTCTTCCACCACTTTCCCTGTGCCTTTTGCCCTCATCTGTCTTTTCCTTTGAAGAATCTCCTTCCCTGCATTCTAGCTCTCTTTGCTTTCTCTGCTTCTTTACTACCTTCTCCTCCTTCCTCCTCGCTTAAACCTTTGAAGTCCAGATCTCTGAGTGCATGTGAGAAGGAATGGGTGGTGGTTGCTAAAAACTTCTCTCCTTTTACTGGTGACTTCTACAAGCAATCATTCTGCTATAAAACCCACAACCCTCCTATGAGCATAAAGACAATTGAGGGGTCTGGAAGAAAATAGACAAAAGTCAGTCCTTCACAGAATCTCTGTGAAGTCAGAACTAGAAGGGCCCGTCATCTGATGTTTCTCCAAGAAGAAGGACTTTAAAACCCTGAGAGGAAGGTGACATTCTCAAGGCCACAGAGCCAGTTAGTGGCACAACTGGGATCAGAAACTTGTATCATACATCTTTAGCTCTTGCTTTGAACTGTGTGTGATTCTGTGGGCTGATAGAAACGGGAATGGGCAAGGATCAAGTGATCAATGCTATGTTCAGGTCTGACTGCCTTGGTAGTTGCGGGTCAACAAACACACTGGGTGGGAGCACTCTTGTTACCAGGTGCTGTTGAGATGACTCCAACTCGCAATAACCCTCGTCTCATCCTGCGCCTTCCTCACCACATCCGCCGTGCCCATGTCCATTGGTGCAGGCACCGGGTGAACATAATAGTAGGTTAACATGGCTTTTCTCTTCAGAAGCTTTTCATAATACAGTAAATTTTCAGGAGCCAGCCTTGTTTTTCTGTGCTTTGTAAACTTTCCACCTCTGACAGTGTAGTGTCAACATTTTCATGTACTTTAGTGAAATATATTTACATTTTCCCTCTTTTATAAGTTTCTTCCTTACACATGTTTTACTGCAATAATTAACATTTACACAGTGCTTTAGCTTTAGGGTTTGGGTTTGTTTTTTGGTTTTTTTTTTTTTACTTTGAAAGTCATATTTGATTGTTTAATGTCATGGTTTTTGGAGGTGCCTTAGCATTTTATTAAGCACCTTTACATGTAATTTTTAATTTCAATAGCCCTGTAAGCCATTTTTACAAAGGGAACACTGATTCAAGATGCTTAACTATTTCCTCTTGGTTGGACATATAGAAAATGGCACGATTAGGACTCAAACTAGAGAGCAAACTCCAGAATGTCTCTGGATTCTCTGTGTAAACAACATACGAACCTTTCTCACAAGAACCCTCCAGCTGCAGGAACCATTTTACAGTGGAAAGAGGTACGTGTAGACACAAAGCTCACAACACAAACACATACACATCTAAGTCATAAAGCAGGAAACAAACGTTTTGCTTAGTGCTTAACTTGCAATGTTTAACTGCCCAGGACTACAGAGTGGACAATTAGGAAACGGGAAAAAGTGGCATTCCTTACTCAGTCTTGGAAAAAGCGTGAGTGTGTGTGTGGTGTGTGTGTGTGTGTGTGTGTGTGTGTGTGTGTGTGTGTGAGGGAGGATGGCTAGTAAAGTAGGGGTGATGATGAGGGTGATGTTCTCAGGCCTGAGTAAAGAGACCCTGGGGCTGCCTTCTGGGACTGACGCAGTTGGACAGCAGAGGGCACTGTAGAGCCTTCTTTGGTCCAGGTACAGAATACCTGACCTTTCATTAGACATTCTGTGTCTGGACCAAAGGGTTTCCCAAAGACAGTCATGGATGTTGGGTGGCTTCTTAGGCCTCAGGTCATCCTACTGAAATCACACTCCTTTTTTTCTTAGAACTCTTAGTAACATCAGAGAGGTGGAGGAAGATTTGTTATTAGGTGCCATCTGGTTGAGTGTGACCCATAGTGAGGCTATGAATAACAGATTTGAATCCTGTACTATCCTATGCCATCGTCACACGTTCTGACACACTAGAACCCATTGTGGCAGTCACTGTGTCATTTCACCAGGTTAAGGATCTCCCTTTCCTTCACCGACCCTTTGACTTTCTGAGTATCATATCCCTCTCCAAGGAATGGCGCCTCCTAGCAACATGCTGAAAATATGTAAAGTGAAGTTTCATCATCTTTGCCTCCAAGGAGTACTCTGGCTGCACTTTCTCCAAGACATATTTGTTTGTTCTTTTGGCAGTCCATCGGATGTTCAGTGCTCTTCTCCAACACCACAGCTCAAAGGTGTCAATAATTTTTCTGTCATCCTTATTTATTGTCAAGCTCTCAGAAGTCATCAGAAAGACCAAGATCTTAATCAGACGCACCCTAGTTCTCAAATTTAGTCCACACCTAGACATCATTACTCCCCAATAATTTGGCCGACTTCCCCAGTGCAATACGTCTCCTTATTTCCTGACTGCTGGTACCAAAGGTGTTGAGTAAGAGTAGAGATTGAAATCTTTGGAGTCTGACAGCTGATTTGGAATTCTTCTGCACCTTTTGCTTGACTTTAGATAAGGCTTCTGAGCTTCAGTTTCTTCATGTACAAGGAAGAATGTCAATTATGTTGTGCAGACTTGGACATGGATTTATACCAGGGACTTCCTGCAAGGCCAGTGGGTGGACAGCATTCCATGCTTAAATATAAAGAGCCTATTAGGCATGGCCTTTCACATTGAAAGTTTCATGATGGGCAAAACCCAAACACACCCCTTGACCTCACGGAGCATGTATCATCATAGAGAAGACAGACTTTCCTCAAAGAATTCCATGGAAAGAGAACACATTATTGTTGCTATTGCTTGTTGCTGTTAATTCTAACTCATGGCAACCTCCTGGAAGTGGAATAGAATTGCTTTGATCATTTGCAAAACTATGACCATTTGGAAGCAGATTATCAGGTCTGTCTTCTGGAGTACTGCTGGTGGGTTTGAACTGCCAACCTTTTGGTTAGTTACTGAGCATGTAACCATATCTGGCACCTAATGATAAACTTGTTGTTGTTGGGTGCCTTTGAACAATCCTGACTTAAAGGGACCTGAGAGGGAAGAGTAGAATAGCCCCACAGGGTTTCCTAGGCTCTAAGTTTGTTTTTTAGCTTAAATTTGGAAATTTTACAAAGGATATTGATTTTTTCTTTCAATAATTCATATATATTATATATATATATATAGATAGATATAGATATAGATACAGATATAGATACAGTCTTATAACATTATTTACAATACCCACAATGTCTGATCATCCCCTCCTTATGGTATTGCCTTTCCCTTCACCCATGAAGCTGGAATTCTTTAATGGAAGTGACAGCCATATCTTTCTCCTGTGGAGCAAATGGCAGTTTCTGACTAGTAACCTTTCAGTTAGCAGCCAGGTTCTTTTTTTTTTTATTTTAC